ATAATCGTAAATTATACTTGAGAGACTAACACAGGTGAATCAAATAATAAAAATGCCATGTACATCACTACAGATTATGCGAGACGGTCAATAGAAATGCTTCCGTTTAATCCTGAGTTACAATCACATTACATTTTGACAGTGTACAACTTACTGCGTTTCGACTAAATTAATAAGCCCCCCTCTCTATTAAGCCCCCTCTCTCCAATAAACCCTCCCTCAAACGTGCCTGAAATAAATAAGCCCCCCAGGGGGCTAAATAGAGGATTTACGGTAGATCAAATGATAATACAAAGATAGAAACTTCATAACAAGAAACTCTTGGAGCATGCACTGGGCTACCCAATGTGCTGGTAGGCTAGCTGGAGCTTATTTAACACCTAATCTTTGTTATGTACCGCTATTTGGGAGGAGCGGGTACTTTGGAACCTTTTAGGTGTATTTTTCTTTCAGAACTTGCGAACATTTATTTTTTCTCACATCAAATTCATTCAAAAATATACATCTATTAATGTGTTTTATTTTAATAAAAATGTATATCTTTTAACCAGTGAAGTGAAATGACACTCAATTTGTAAATCTATATAGATGCGGTTTTGTAACCGGAGAAAACAGCGTTGCTTTACCAACGTCACTAAGGTTTAATTGGCTCCATCTAAAATTACGCTGACGGACAACAACTAAAATTGACTAAAGGCTTAGCCTCTGAGCTAAGGAAATAATTATATTTATTTCAAGATACATTAGCAAATAAGCTACATAAATTCGACATAAATTCGTTTAGAAATATGTTTAAATGGTTTGTTTTTTGCTAACCGTTCTGAAGTTCTCCTATTATTGATTATATTCTTCAAATATAGTCTTTTTAAAAATCCAAACCAGTTAGAAGTGGAACTGTGAACCTCGGTTAGTAAAAGGATTCAAAACTTAGCGAAAAGTATTTATGGCCAAAAAGTTAGCAGCTCTATTACCGTGTAGTATTTAACGATATATTTATGCATATGCCTTCAAGATTAACTAGAGACTGTAAGCCGTATTGCCTTTTAGGCTCTAATAACCCACGCGATTGAAGCCAGAATACTATCGACTGAGAAGGTGTACTAAGGCTAATAAATATCTGAATTACAATCCTAGAAATCTTCTTTTACTGCTCAATTATATTAATTTTAAAAGCCTGGAATTACATCCTCTGCTGCTAAGCCAGCCTTTTATCTTTGAACATGTCATTCAAATCTATATATATGGGTACTCTTGCACAAGAATGTACATTTTGCAAGAAGGAGACGACAAAAAAAAACAAAAAGGCATTTTATGGTTGGGCCGCCACAGGCAACCCAGTAATAAACTTAATTTTTAAAAAAGTTTCAAAATGATAAATTTAAAAAACAACAACCTTCAAATAACTGCCATCTGCTGACCTGTGCAGGCTCGTTTTTGCAGATAACTGTCTACAGATAACTATCGACCACTGAAATATCAAGTTGATAACTAGAATTATCTGTAGGTTCTCAACCAATAGTGAGTACAATGTATAATAATCAGAGTTAATTGTAAGAATTCTTAAAGTTATCTTTTCTGACTCTTTGTAATTATTATAGTTTGGATGTGCTGGATTTGCTGGTCTGATCATTGGCAGGCAAAATAGAACACAAGGCTATATAGGCTCTGGAATGGTATGTAGAGACTGTAATGATTGACAAGTTGCAAATTTATACACTCAGGCTGGTTTTATGATTCAAGTAATGCATAGATTTGATATTGATTTAAATTAGAACTTCAATCAATTAAAACAACTATGCTTATTAGACTTATACATGCTGCATTTTCTCCCCATCCACCCCTCCCCCTCCCAAAAGCATATGAGCCAAACAAACAGTGGCAGTGTACAGCTACCAATATGAAAAAGTCTATTCTGTTCTGTTCTGTGCTGTGCTGTGCTGTGCTGTGCTGT